CCTATCAGAAGTCTCAACCGTTGTAGAACCCAGTCATAGCTATACTCGATCTCGTCTTTGATAATTGCATAGGCAATTAAAAAGTTCTTGTTGCACGGCGTCATTACAATCATTTCCACCAACGACATTTGGTACATGTGCAAATGAAAGCAACAAAAGAAAACGCAAAATTAAAAAAATTACTCAAACATACTAATTAAGATTCACATTAAATTGCTATTTATAAAGTAACATACATGTTGGTTTTGTACATAGAATCTATACCGACATTCAAGTAATATGTCCGTAATAGACTGGCTGCTTGAGGATGCGACATGAGCACATGTGTCAACGCCTGTGTGTCCTGATCAACATTTGTGTAAACTATATAGTTGCTAACCGTAGTCAAATGCAGAATCTGGGCAGCCACTCTCTACCATGCAAGCTATCTCTCTGCAATTTAACTTTACAGTTATACACTTGTCGGCGAGTTGCGTTGTCTACATAGATTTTATCCAGAATCGCAGCCAAAATTATTGCAGGTTTTTCCCTGACCAGTAGTCATATCACGGACAACCTCTTTAGATGAATCGCTAGTCTGCTCATCTGATGACCCTCGGAATACTCAACCATTGCATGATTATGCATTCCCTTCTCATCATCATAAGGAATCTAGATACACAATTTTTGCGACTCTGCTACAAATTTGACTTTTATAAGAAAAGGCATTTGGACGCTTTAGTTTTCGAACATCTCAAAACAACCTTAACTAAATCTCTCATACTGCCTCTGTAACGTCTCCCTCGATGACAACTCAACAACTTATGTTTTTCTTCTTTTTCGTGTTCCGATATGACCAATTCGGAACTCCATATAATTGCAATATCTTTTGCCCATTTAGCAGTTTCCTCACAACTATCAAATAGCTCATCTGTAGTGGAAGCAGGTCTGTAGTCAAAACAGTCTCCTCCAAAATCCGAGTGGCACTTGCAATATATTACGATGTATGTTAATAATTTTACAAAATAATAAATTATAACGTCTAACATAATAATAGTAATTTGTAATTTTTTATATAAACAATTCTAACTTCTAACATAATATCAATAAATTCTACTTCATAAAATAAATAATACTAATCGATAACACAATAATTTCTAACATCTAACATAATATTAATAAATTCTATTTTATATGATAATCAATTCTAATCTATAACACAATAATTTTTAACTACTAACATAATATCAATAAATTTTATTTTACAAGAAAATCATTCTAATCTATAACTTAATAATTTATAATAATATATTTTTTTCTATTATAATTAATTATATTTTATACTATTATAATATATAATAATTATACTAATTACTAATAAAAAATTTGATACTAATATAGTTTTTTTTTCATTTATAATTAATTATATTTTATACTATTATAATTTTGAATAATTATACTAATTACTATTATAATTTTTAATATATATTAATTTAATATAAATATACATATATTAATTAGAAATATTTTCCATTAATTATAATATATATTAATATAGTTTAATTATTAAATTATTTATTTAATTTTAAAATATATATTAATATTTGTGACATTAAAGGATCCCTTTTTTCAACCCATTTTTGACATATTAAAAAGAAAATTGATAAAAAATATAAAAAAACAGCGAAAAAACTACAGCCGCGAAAGGAACGACCGGCGGCGGCCCGCGACCGCAAAAAGAAAGGACGACGGCCAATAGTGGCCGCAAAATGAGAGGTCGGCAGCATCTCGCGGCCGCAAAGAGGACGACCAGAAAGATAACCGCGACCAAGCGATTTTCGGCCACGGTCGCCGGCCGGCACGTTCGACTGCGGCCGCAGTCGTCGGCCGACCAACATATTTTTTCAAAAAATTTTAAAAAATTATTTCGCATGTAAAAAAAATACTTGTGGATTAGAGAGTTCTTTCCCGGTGCGTGAGGGTTGTCCTGCCATTCTTTTGGATTTTTTTCAGAATTTTTGAATGTTTCGTTGTTTTTTTTTTTTT